CCAACAGCACCCCCAATCTATGAACCTGAGTCAGACCCTCCCCAATCCAGTAGCACACAGAGAGCTTTCATATTCTTGAGACAACACCATCAGAGGCATGATATAAAAGTCCTCTCATAATTCAGATGTAGGAATATCATCTCTATCATTTCTTCATGTTTTCATATGTTGCCACTGTGGGCCAAACTTAGTATATGAGTAGCCACATGCTTGGAAACTAAGATGTTTTGGGACATCCCCTACAGTTGTCCTGAGCAGCTGAATTAAGGATGTCTCAACACAGATATCCATTCCCAAGGATTAAAAATCCACATTTCTCAACACTAATCTGAGATCACTTCCAATAGCAATGGTGGGAAATTTGTTACGCAGGGGCTTGGACTCTATAGAATCCCGAATCTGTCCTATGCGTCCAACACCAGATACATTCAAAACTGAACATAAAAAAGAAGCTGGAGAGGTCAATGATATTGTGAAAGACCATGGAGACTCTCTTTCTATAACTGTCAATCTGAGGGTGATGCTGCACCAAGAAACCTGGTGAACACATTTGGGAGAGCTCTGTTCATTGTTGCTCACATTGCCAGGTCCTGGTTATGCATGCCAAGTCAGGTTTTTTCATGTTGGAAAGTTAATATATTATTGTGGACTTCCTTGGCATACAGCAATAGCACTTTCAGATCCAACAGTTTACTGATAAGGCAGTCAGGATGTTGGATGATAGAGAGGGAGATCAAAATACAGAAACAGGCATCATATTTCTGATCTATTTCCCTGGCTATTCTCTTTCTTGACACCATTTCTCCCACTGCCAGAAACAGGCAAGTAATGGTGCCTACTTCCCTCCCTGCTCATTAAAACTCAGACACATAAACCAAAAGCAGCAATAAAACAACATTCAGTGATGTCATTAATAAATATCAAGCTGAGAGGTGTTATTTATGGTTATACGAAAGCTGTTCATTGTTTGGATTGTGTTCATTGATTAAACAATTATTTAACCCCCCAATGTTGTTTTATTAATTTCTCTGAATCTCAGTCACCCTGATCTAGCTAATGTTATCTGAATGCTAAAAGAAGTACTGCATATACCAGTTAGGGAAGGGGAATGAATATTACATACTCATGGAGCTCTGTCTTTCATTGTTGACAGTTTAGTTTGTGGTCTTCAGATCAACACCTATAAATATAACATGAATCCCAGTTGTGATCAAAGTTTGTGTTACAGGAAGCTCAATCAAATATGAGTCACTGACTGTTGGCCACATTTCAACCGCTCAGTGAGGAGTGGGAGATTAAATATAAATAGCCTGGGTGTAGTAATAAACCTAATAAGAAATCTAAGATTTCACATCATTCTATGTAGTGGAAATGCTAAATCTCTGAGGAGTCCTAAGTACCTGTTAAATATATTTAAAATTACCTTCAAAACAATGGCAGTACAATCAATCTGCACTTTGAATTACAGACTTTTTGATTTGAATGTGTGATATGTAAATGCTTCTTTCTTTACTTGCTGACTCATATTCTCTCTGAATTATTATGACACTTTGATGTAAATGAGCAGAGCACACTCAAGGGGAACATGACAAACTAAGTAGCAATGTAATTACTTTTTAAAAAGAAAGCCTTGTGTCATATTTTAGAGATGAAATATCTTCTATAGCTGCATTTTTTTTAAAAAAATGAAGCCTTTATGTGAACTACATTGTTAATGTTAGAACCATACAGCATACTTAAGATATTTAGAAAGAACTCATGAACAGGTCTACTAAGAATTCTACTCAGCTCTAGGATTCCCAACTCTGAGCTGGGAAATTCCTGGAGATTTTCGTGCACAGCCTGGGGAGGGCAGCATTTGGGGTAGGGGGATAGGATTATCTTGCCCTCTTCCCTCCCTTACATGCAGGATTTGCAATTTTTCTTCTTTCTTGCTGAGCAGTCCCTATATCTATTTTCTTTTTGTTTGTCTATGGTTCTTCTACCCAGTAGCTTTAATATGTATATTTTGTTGCTGGTCCAGCCCAGAGAACTGAGGGAAGAGACAAAATCATGTTCTCGTATTCAACTTCTGAAATGGCACAGAAGAGCCTTTTGAAAGTTCAAAATAAACAAATTGTTTTATTTAGAGGAGAAAAGGTCAGGTGGAATCTGGGGTAGGATATATGGGATGAATCAATAATAAAACTGAGGGAACTTTGCAATCACACTAACTCCAGATAATTTATTGCCAACAAGTAGGTGTTTCTGCTATTCAAAAAGGGTTTTAATACTTTGAGGACAGAGGCCTTTTTTCAGTTTCTGCTTAAACACTCAAGCATAGATTTTTGAGTTTCATTGACTCTTGAAGTCTAGAAGGCAGGAACATACAACCAAGTTCCCAGAACCTTTCTATATACACAGACCAGGAATCACTCCTTTTTAAAGAGCTATCTCCTTTTTCACTGGATAGGGATTACTTCTTGTAACTAGAAGCAATTTCCCTTTTTGGCTTCAGTGGGGATCCTCTCTGATACTCTCACTCCTTTTGCCTCCTTTCCAGTCCACAGTTAGTGCTTAACTGTCTCTTCCTCAAATGTCTGTTCCCAACTATCATTTCTTAACTGACTCTCTTCACAGAATTCCCTTTGAACAGCGTGTCACTCAAAGGTTCTCAGACTCTGGCTGCGGTCACGCATATAAAATAATCCACTTTCAATCCACTTTCCAACTGGATTTTACTGTGTGAATTGGAAAAATCTAGTTGGAAAGTGGATTGAAAGTGGATTGAAAGTGGATTATTTTATATGCGTGACCGCAGCCAGAGTCTGAGAACCTTTGAGTGACACGCTGTTCAAAGGGAATTCTGTGAAGAGAGTCAGTTAAGAAATGATAGTTGGGAACAGACATTTGAGGAAGAGACAGTTAAGCACTAACTGTGGACTGGAAAGGAGGCAAAAGGAGTGAGAGTATCAGAGAGGATCCCCACTGAAGCCAAAGGGGGTGCAGCAAATGGGCACGAGCACACTGCAACATCTGGGAATCGGCGTGCACCCGTCCCCGATCCGTCCCTTCCGGCCTAAAACTTGCTGCAAAAAAAAAAAAAGTAAAAGGTAGTACCAACCTGGAATGGCGCAGCAAGTGTGTCCGTGAGATCGCTGGTGCACCCGTCTGCAGAAGCACACATGCGCAGTTCAGCTGCCTCGATTTCCCTGCAGTGGCTTCCCCCCGGTATCTGATCATGCTGGGGAGCAACTGCACAGCGGCTCAGGGGATCTATCTGATCCCGCCGCTGCGTGTCTCTTTTGGTGCAACTTTAAAAAGCCGCACTTTGGCCGTTCTTTTTCCCCCCGTGTGGCAGGGGCCTCTGTGCTTGGAGATTAGTTGTAATTCTGAGAGAAATCTAGCCTCATCCTGGATGTTGGCATCCTTTTTCAGGTCTGTTCAGTGGGGCTTACTCCCAAGAAAATGTTCTTTGGGTTTCATGGTTCCTCTCACTGTATAGATGTGAGATCAATCTGTTTTGTGACATTTTGGGTACCTAACCTTCATTGGATTCTCAAGCCTTCCCCCTGCCATCTTCCAGGGTTTTTAATTTCTGTATAGGCTACAAGAGGCATCATACTTCTGGGAAGTGTCTAAAACTTTTGTGCTTTTACTGTCTACTAATCTTTTTTTTTAAGCATAAAATCTTAAAAGCATCACTGAGCATTTGTTTGGAGACTGACCTCAAACACTTTCTGTGTCAGAGTGTATTTACATATCAGTATCTATACTTTCTCTGACTGATACTTTAATAAAAAAAATCATAAGACAATGACACTAAACGTGGGGAAATATTCTCTTAGCTTTTTATATAGCCTTGTTGGGGGAGTGGCAAGAAATGTCTACTCTGCCCCTAAACCTAGGTAATAATAATGTGAGGAATGGTTCAGGGCACTTTGAGGTTGACCTCATGGTATGTATTTGTCAGCCCTAATTTAAACTTTCAGTTACAGCATACTATAAACTATTAGGACTTGAGCTGCCTTTGTGGTGTAGAGAATCTATGAAAGGTGGGTTTAATTAGGATCAGGTGAGATGTCTTCATCCAAGGCAGGATGCTTTCATCTTTAAAGTGGAATCCTGGACTGCCTTGGAGATGAGGGCATGTGTGGCTGTTGCTACACATTTCTGATCCTAACCTCTACCTGCAGGTAAAAACAGGCAGGGACTCGAGCCCGCTAATTCCCCTTTCTTTCCAATTTTAATTCCCCCCCCAACTGATTCTCAACTGCCTTCCTCATTCCATGCTTTCTGTCATTCAATGCAGTTTTTACTGGCCTATTGTGAGAGTATTATGAGATAAGCCTAGAACTATCAGAGTTGCTATTAGAAGGAGTAGTTATTAACAAATCATTATCTATCTCTGACATAATATGTATTAACAGACACATATTTTTAAAAAGCCCTTGTCAACAGTTTTGTTTTTTTTTTTAAATTGTGCAGGCTCATGTATACGGATGTACTTCTGTATGTTGGGCGATGGGAGATTTTTGTTCAGATTTAGAAGCAGCAGTTATTCCAATTATGAAAATTCTTGGTTGCACTGTTAATCTGCAAAAGCAACGATCAAGACAAAAGGGATGAGATGTATTTAGCTTACATGAATCTATTAGAAAGACAAAATAGATGCCAGGAGACAGCTTTGATTCAAATAAGCCTCTAGTCAGGAACCCAACCACTTGTGTTCATTAAAAGGACAAAGGACTTCTTTGACCAGTAGGATCTCTAGTAGTGATTGGCCCAGCCTTGCCCTGTCATAGTTATTACTCTTTTGATTTAATATTGTTTTAAATTGGTCTCCCCTCCCCTCCCACTTTTCTGTTTTGTGCAGTTTTAACTATAATACTCATGCATCTGAGAAAATTAGCCCTTATTCACAAAAAACATATGCTGAAATACATTTTGTAGCTGCTACTTATGTTTCCACTCTGAATTAATTTCTGTCTTTCCCCCCTGCTTTATCTTGACCACTAAAGGTGCTGGTGGCTGGACTCCACTTGTGTCAAATAAATATCAATGGCTTCAAATTGATCTTGGTGAAAGAACTGAAATCACTGCCGTTGCCACCCAAGGTGGATATGGGAGTTCTGACTGGGTAACAAGCTACCTCCTGATGTTCAGTGACAGTGGAAGAAACTGGAAGCAATATTGTCAAGAAGAAAGCATTTGGGTATGTTGAGTATCTTGTTTTCAGTATTATATTTGTACATTGCTAAAACATATTTTATCAAATTAAATTATAGAAATTTAAGTAGTAGGGGTAGAAGTGTCATATTTTAAAATATTTCCTATAAATAGGATTGATCCATTACTTTTCAAATGTCATAGTATTACTTTAATATTGAGTTAGGATTGGCAAACTACTGCCATAGAGCTGAGTGTACAATATGGATCACAGTCCACCAGAAAATTCTCTTGCACATAACCCATTGAAATTAATAAGACCTATGGACATGTACATTTTAATTTACGGGCATATTATATGTAATGAATTTGTTAAAATAGTTTATTCAACTATATTCTCATAGATACAATGTGAGAAATAGTTCTTCTTCCCTCTGATATGTCAGACTTCACTAGATGTGTAAAATTTTTGAAAATCTACAGGCAGTCAGGTAGCAGGAATCAAGGTGAGCAGACAAGCCAGAAGCAGGCAGGTGAGAGGCAGGGCAGGTACAAGGCAGGCAGGAGTAGGCCAGAACAGACACGAGGCAGGGTATAGAGGCAAGTAGTCAGAAGCCCAGACAATGATTACAAGCCTTATGTGAGCTGCTTAGCCACTCAATTTCCCAAGCTTCTACTGTCTTCTATAAGAAGCTGGGATACTTGCCTTTTCCAATGACCTGGTTAAAGTCCTGGCTCCTGTCAAGAGCTACTACTCTTTATCTCCCTCCTTAGACAAACTGGAGAGAGGCAAACTCTAGGCTACTTGTCATCTGCTCCTTCACTGAGTCCCTGTCTCTGCCCTAGTCCTCCTTCATCTCTGATCCCAAGGTTCTGGGAGGACCTTTGTGGGTGTGGGACCTTGGCAGGTAGCTCCAGGTCATCAAATGGTGTCGATGGGGTGCAGGGCTTTCTGGTTGGTTCCTGCTCTTTTGGCTAAATGGAAGTGGGATCCTCATCTGTTTACTGTTGCAGGATCATGGGGTCTTCTGTGGAGCATTCAGAGGGGCCTGCATCTCAGAGATTTCAGGACCTGAGAGGGACAAAGATTCTGCACCAGGGGAACTGGGGCATGTAATGCAAAATAGCCTCCATTTCTTTTGTCTGCTTGCAGTTCACTTGACCAAACTTTGTCAAAGAGGATTCTGGGTCTGTGAAGGCCTGGAATGTGCTATCAAAGATATGCTGGTGTAAATCTTAAGAGTCTCAGAGGCGCCTGCTAGTCTCTTGGTGCCTCTTAGTTCCCTTTAAGACCTGTATGACCCTGATAACGGGAGAATTATGACTTTCACTCCCATGGCAGTACCAGCTGCAAACCCTTAGCAGTGTGGCCTTGGTGGTCATTAATTCATTAGCAACATTCCAACTGTTTGCACCTGTGATGGGAGGAGGGAGTCGGGTTATCTTCTAGAAATAACTTTCGATTCCCCAGAACTGAACAACAAGTATTATGGGATATCCTTTGTTACCCTGGTTACCAGTAGTTGTGACATCACTTTGGTGGGTTTGTGAGTGGCTACCCGGCCGGAGCCCCTCGTGACCCCCCTTTTCTATAAGAACCTGTGTTCTCAGTAACCGGTGTGGATTCTTGGGGTATTTTGGCTAAGTCTGGTCAATACTCCAAGCAACCCTCCATAATGCCTTGAATACTTGGACTCACCATCTTGAGGGAAGATGCTGAGTGAATGCTTTGGGTCTATGGACTATTTGCCTCTTTGAAACTTTTTCTTTCCCTGGTTTGAACCAATCTTGGCCTGTATAATTTGAGAAATGTGAAATTTCAGGTAGTATTTCCGATCTGTATTTCCTCCATATTTCTAGGGAGGTTCCCAGAAATTCATTTTGTGGCATGGCTTCTTTTCTATTTCTCCAAACATTCCAATATAGGTCGGGTAATGATGTAATTTTATAATCTTCTTCTTGTATCTGCTGCCAATGTAGTTTTCCTTGCGATGTTAATAATCTCGTTATATTAGAGAGAATTACTGCCTCACAATATAACTTTAAGTCAGGGAAATCTAAGCCACCATCTCTCGCCTTTCTCCTCAGTGTGCTAAATTTTATCCTAGGTTTTTTGTACCCCCAGAAAGTGAAAACTAGTTTGATTCAAACTTTAATGGTTCAAGTAAGATGTTTTACTCTGTGACAAAATCATAACTGCTGTTTAAGGTGAGGCACAAAATTGTAGTTACGAGACATATTCATGTTACTGACCGATTTAAAAAGAAAAAGAGTCTTGATACCTGTCGTTTAGGATTATGAGATTGAGGTCGAATCCACATGTGTGTTTCTTGCCGGTTTCCTGACATTTTCACTCCTGTCCCCCAACAAACTGTCCACATTTGCATCTGGTTTCATGCTGGCAGTGCGCCAGTATAAAAATCAGTGTCTGCATATGTTTCCTGCCCTCTGGTAGTGACTCCATTGTCATAGCCGCTCTGCACTGGTTTAAATGAATGCTGTTCTTTGCTGCTCTAACTCCCTCCTTTCTGGTTTTGTTGCGCTGTCAACCTAATGCAGATATTTTTGAGCCGTTGCTCCGCTAATTCTTAAATAATGCCAACTGGTGGCACACAAAAAACTAGGTGGTAACTCATGGCTCGATTTCAACAGTACTCTTTTCTCTTTTTACTAGCTAGCCCCCAAAATTTTTATCTTGTTTTGAAGCTTTTATTTCTTGACCCCTTTTACAGACCGACTGAACATTTTTAAGTTTACTACCAGTGCAGTAAGAGCTTGCATTTATCTCAAACCGTTTAAATCCAGAAATGGCGTTTCTAATTTTATTCCCGCTTGGCTTTATTTCCTCATAGTTATGTACCAGCCCTCAAATCTTATCTTCCAAAACTTATCTATCCGCTTTCAAACCATTTATTTTCTTGACACACACACACAAACACACACACAAACACACACACACCTCGCTTTATGGGACATTTTAAAGTCCACGGGGGGGGGGGGTTCTTTGGGCCTGGGGGGG